AAAGCATGATGGCGGCAGTGTTTGACAGGCACGTTCGACGATGCGAACGGCAATGGAAGATGGATGACATGAGAATGAAAGAATTATGAAATAGCAGAATGTCGAACCAAAATTTCAAAAATCTGACAATGCGAATGACGTCAAAATGAAAGAAATGCAAAATAGCGAAATGTCGAAACAGAAGAAATAGATGACAGCCACGTGTTCAAGGGTTTCGTGCAACAAAAAGAGTTGTGTTGCGCCATTCAATACTAAAAAAATTTTAATAAAGTTGAAANTCGCACTTTTTGACGCATTATATAAATGTTTTTGCGTCAAAAACCGCGAGAGCGATTCGAAAATTGTCGCTAACTGGTTACAGAATCTCCCCCCAGGTCCTGTCCTTCTCCGATCTTTTGGACGATAGGGTATAAATACCTTCTTCTTTTAGACCTGTACAACNAAATGTCGAAACAGAAGAAATAGATGACAGCCACGTGTTCAAGGGTTTCGTGCAACAAAAAGAGTTGTGTTGCGCCATTCAATACTAAAAAAATTTTAATAAAGTTGAAAAAACTACATATCGTTGGCTTAGTTCGCAAACGTGCTAAGTCCACTTTTTATGTAAATTGAGATAAGATAGCATAACTGAAAATACATCATTACCAAAAAAGANTTAGCATATTTGAGCAATAAATAATTCAAAATATTAAATAAAAAAATATCATCATGATATAACGGCCTTTGCGATAAATTCGTTCAAACCATTAAAGTCGCCGGGGTCCGATGGCATCATACCTGCGCAGCTGCAAAAGGCTCTAAAGGTGTCGTGCTATTGGTTGGATCCTATTTATGCGAACTGCGTGAGGACCGGGTACATCCCAAAGACTTGGAGGGTAGTCAGTGTTGCGTTCATCCCGAAGGCCGGAAAAGGCTCTCACGTTTCCCCTGTGGATTTTAGGCCTACCAGTCTCTTCGCTTTTGCTAAACACGATTTTGCTAAAAACGCTAGAGAGACTGATAGACATAAGAAACGCGATTCCTCGTGACTGTCTTTCAAGAGCTGAATATGGTTATTGCAAAAAAAGGTCGGTGAAGACTGCCCTGTACACATTGGTAAAGTGGTCAGAGGAAGCCTTCACGCATGAAGATTATGCAGTAGGGGCCTTCTTCGATATCGAGAGGGCCTTCAACAATGTCACTCCGGAGGCAATAGTAAAGTATATTCATAATCTGGGGGTGGAAACCAACCTAATAAGGCTTATCTACAGTTTACTTGGTGGCAGAACTGTCGCAGAGGAATAGGATAGAATCTGCAGAGTCAATAGGAGCACTCCACAAGGTGGTCTTCTCTCTCCCTTGCTCTGGATTGCGATAGGCATTTAAAGCTTTTTTTGTTCAAATTGAAAAGATTTCCTCCTTCGCACACTTTTCTCATGCTTTTTTATGGTAGTTATTATTCTGTTGACATCTAAATTGCCATACATTTTATGTCGTTGCCAATACATTGTTTTCCGACGTTTTCTCTGTGAACTTTTATACCTACATTCATGAAAATATTACTAATTTTGGTTTAAATTTTTTTTCCATCTTGCTATTACTGAATAATAAAAAGTTAGTTACAATTTTAGTGAATGGTTCTTGCAAATAATAGTATTTTGTGGTTGAAATTACTTGATCGCCGGCAGGAACTAATCAACTTTTTTGCCAATACCAAAGCAGATGGGAAGGAAAAATAGTTGTTTATTAACGATTTGTTCGAAATATCGTTCTTGAAACGCTCTACTGCTCACTAAATTTGTAAAAATCAATTTTTTTTCACTTAATTGTTATATTTTTCTTCATTGTGGTAAATTTCCACATCATCACAGCAGCTGGCTGTCAAACCGAAACCAAAAAATATACCGGAACATTCAGGGCGCAATCATCTTTTCTATGATTATTGTACTGCTACTTTGTATTTCTCAATTTTAACAATTCTGATCTAACAGTAAACGAAACCTCAGTAACTTTAAATGCACTGCAATTCACTAATACCTACTTCCGCAAAAGTCACCTTTTTTCGTATTTTCCTTGTTAAAAGTTGTTTTAAATCATATATTTTTATCGCCTTATTCATAAAAAATAAAAATTTTAAAAAGCTTTTTAAATTGCCGTTTGCAAACCTTTTTCAATTTGTAAACCTTTTTTTAAAGCTACTTTAGTTTTTATGAATAAGGCTATTAGAATTTAGCACAATTGAAACACGTTCTCTATCGAAAAATGTATTATTAAGAAAATTGGCTGTTCTCACATTTTCTTTCAGCATCCAATTCGACTTTGCTTACCGCAGAACGGCGCAATCTTGTATTCTATCTTTCTTGTCAAATATGCATTATACCTAATGTGACCAACCGTACTTCTTTCGGAAGTACAGTACTTCTTTTTTCGCTCTTGTACCTCGTACTTCGAAGTACAGTCAAATGTACTTCTTTGCGATATTTTGTACTTCAGGAGGGGGATTCTTTTACCAGTTAGTTATAATTTTCGGATCGCTATCGCACTTTTTGACGCATTATATAAATGTTTTTGCGTCAAAAACCGCGAGAGCGATTCGAAAATTGTCGCTAACTGGTTACAGAATCTCTCCCCAGGTCCTGTCCTTCTCCGATCTTTTGGACGATAAGGTATAAATACCTTCTTCTTTTAAACCTGTACAATTTTTATTTGTTCAATTGTTCTTAGATTTTATTAGAATTTCTAAATGAAAAGTTTTTAAAATCATTAAAATAAAAGGCTTCAAACTACATACATTAATTAATTTAGCATATTTGGGCAATAAATAATTCAAAATATTAAATAAAAAAATATCATCATGATATAACGGCCTTTGCGATAAATTCGTTCAAACCATTAAAGTCGCCGGGGTCCGATGGCATCATACCTGCGCAGCTGCAAAAGGCTCTAAAGGTGTCGTGCTATTGGTTGGATCCTATTTATGCGAACTGCGTGAGGACCGGGTACATCCCAAAGACTTGGAGGGTAGTCAGTGTTGCGTTCATCCCGAAGGCCGGAAAAGGCTCTCATGTTTCCCCTGTGGATTTTAGGCCTACCAGTCTCTTCGCTTTTGCTAAACACGATTTTGCTAAAAACGCTAGAGAGACTGATAGACATAATAAACGCGATTCCTCGTGACTGTCTTTCAAGAGCTGAATATGGTTATTGCAAAAAAAGGTCGGTGAAGACTGCCCTGTACACATTGGTAAAGTGGTCAGAGGAAGCCTTCACGCATGAAGATTATGCAGTAGGGGCCTTCTTCGATATCGAGAGGGCCTTCAACAATGTCACTCCGGAGGCAATAGTAAAGTATATTCATAATCTGGGGGTGGAAACCAACATAATAAGGCTTATCTACAGTTTACTTGGTGGCAGAACTGTCGCAGAGGAATAGGATAGAATCTGCAGAGTCAATAGGAGCACTCCACAAGGTGGTGTTCCCTCTCCCTTGCTCTGNTCATAATCTGGGGGTGGAAACCAACTTAATAAGGCTTATCTACAGCGTCTGCAGAGTCAATAGGAGCACTCCACATGGTGAGGTTCTCTCTCCCTTGCTCTGGATTGCGGTTGTAAACGACCTTATAGAGGAACTGGAAAAAGTGGGCTGTCGGGTGATCGCCTATGTAGATGATGTGGAACTTTTGGTTAAGGTACGATTTCTATACACCCTTTTTGATCTGGCTCAAGGTTACCTGAACCACGTAACCAGGGGCGATCAACGGCGGCCGTCGTGGACGCCTAACATGGAGGAAAGGGTTGGAAAGGTGTTGGCTGCCTTGTATTGCTGTAGGGGAGCTATCGGTAAAAGGTGGGGTCTCTCGTTCAAATTAATTAATAAGCTCTGGGAAACAAGATTTAAGCCGATATTGTTGCAAGGAGTCCTGGTTAGGTGGAACTCACTAGAGAAGGCCACACTTGTAAAACATGAATTAGCGGAGCATTAGGAACCACACTTACACTGACGCTTAACATACATGTGTTGAACACAGCGCCTGCGGATATTGCATACAGAATTGTCGCAGCACGAACTGCTATTAGGATGAGGGAAACCGGGTCCTTTTGCAACATAAAAAGGGAATTGAAGACGTTTCTCTGCTGCAGCAAATGTTTTTATAGGGCACTTTACACCTCAAGGACACGTTACCTCTCAAGGGCTAGTGATGGGGGTTCTGATAGGCTATTGCGCGATTGGTATTCATGCGGTGAGACTAGGAATTTCAACTGATTCTTTTGTATCAGTTTCCAAGAGCAAGATGAAATGGAATCATCTCTTAACTTAACCCAACCTAAGCTGTACTTCTTTGAGATATGAAATAGTTGGTCACATTAATTATACCTAACTGTCATACTACTATTAATGGTAACCATTTTCATTAAAATCGTTTCAATTCGTAATAAAAGTAGTTTATATACTTCTAGTCTAAATATATTTTTTAATATAAACTAGCCTTTTTAAGTCTAAAATAAATCAACAATCTCAAGATTTATAAAAAATTTGTCTTCAAAAAATACGTTCCAAAGCATTCCTGTTGATATCATAATTCAAATGAAAATTAGAATATAAACTTTGATGCAAAAAATTGTCCGCGGTATTCATCATACAAATTTATCATATTACTTGTCCGTATGTCGCTCTGGAAAGAATATATTTTAATTTATATATTTTCTTAAAAATAAATACAAATTTACCTATTTTTTCCACCGGCAGGTACGAATATGGTATTCAAAACAGAAACAATGACAACGAATTTTACACACATTGTTGTAAAGAATGTACACGGAAAAAACTGGTCGCACATAACCAAGCATAGCTCGGTTAATCATAACATTAAAATAAAAATCGGTAGACACTTAAAAAGCTGGAAGCATTTTCCACCTTACTGCATCATTTCTTTTTAGTAACAAAAATCAGTGTAGAAACGAGGACCAAGAAAGAAATCGATCGCGAGTTAATATTGCGCAAAGAGCTGGAAAATCCCAGCATGTTCCATAACGACATCGCAAAAAAGCTAAAATTTCCAAAGTCTACCGTTACTTATGTGCTTAAAAAATACAATGAATGTTTATCGTTAAAAAGGAACCCTGGTAGTGGCAGAAAAAAAGTGTTATCTGCTTTTAAGAAAAATCCTGGACTTTCGGTAAGAGATGTCGGCAAAAAATTAAACATGTTTTTGGCCTAATCTCGCGATATGTCATTACGGAAAAATGGCTTTAGGATGGTAGCATAGAAACAAAGTGTATTTTGTAGCAAAAGAGGTGAATCCACCTAATTGTCCAGAGCATCGGCCGATCGAAACCTACTGGGCCGTTATGAAATCCAAACTTCTTAAGACCCACAAAGCTGTAAAAAACGCACAACAATTCAAAAATAAATGGCAGCTGGTTTCCAAGGAAATCACTGAAACTTCTGTGCAAGGGCTAATGAAGGACATAAAGTCAAAATTGCGATCGTTTGCTTATTACAAGGAGAATTAACTCTTTTTTAACGAATTTCAATAAAACTAAGTTTAGATGTAAATATATGTAAATATTGTTGAATTCCATTAATATATTTATGTTTTAGAACGTTTTAACTGTGACCAGTTTTTTTCGTGTACATTCTTTATTTCATCGCAAAATGATAAGTTTCACAAATATTTTAAATTATTGCCTGGAACATACACATTTATCGTTATTATTGGAAATGCAAGACTTGGCATGCATTTTTAATTTCTTGTTTAATCAATTCAATATAAACACATTTTTCTAAAATATTTCTCAGTTTACATTTTAAAGTTGTTATTGAAACTTGAATGTAACTCTGTGCGGAGAATGAGAGAATTGAAAATCAGGTGATTTCAGCTGTTTTCAAATGTAAATAAACAAAATGGCGCTTTTCATACTTGTAAGCCTATGCAATGGTTTGATCGACTGAAACAGATGAGCGAAATACAATATTAAAACAAGCAAAAGTGGAGATGGTAGAAAATATCAACATGAGAATTAAAACAATTGATAATACAGTAATTGTAAACAAAAAGTTATAGCACTATTTCCGGGATCACCACATCTCCTCATCAGACTTCTTTTTTCTAGACTTCAGCAGGGATCGAACCTGCGTATTCGATGTTCAAAGTCAGAAGCGTTAACCACTGAGCTATGTACATCCCGTAAACTCTTGTTGCTAATTCATTTTCCTTATTCAACCAACTGCTATCAAGTGCAGCTGATTTGCCGCTATTTAAACTCGATAGCGTGGTTGTTGTTGTCAATTCTATACATCCATTTGCTTATTTGCTTTTTTGTATAGTTTCAGGCAGGCTCTTCCTAAACTATAGGGCTATTCGCGATCCGGTGCAAATGGCCTAGCATCATTGCATTGCAAATTTGTATTGCAAATTATTTGCAATACACAAACAAAATACACGCATTTCCATTTGTCATGGCTTG